CCTGACTTTACAGAGCATACACAAAGACTAGCATGAATACAAAAACGGCCATGGCTTTAGGCTTCGTTCGGAACCTCCTCAGGAGGCACAACGGTTGGCTAACAAAACAGAATAGAAGAACGTCAGCTCTGGCCCTGGTCACACGCCGGCTCTCCTACATACATAATATAGATTGTGAGCTAAAGCCCAATGAATAATAACAGAGTAAAGGATTTAATGAATGACGTCCATCACAGAGTTAGAAATCAAATTCTTATCAAAAACAGATTCATATACATATTCATAATCATTTCCATATTCAGATTTTGCATATAATCATACGTGGTACATCCGTTAGCGTTAATAAATCCGATGGCCCATAAAGGGACGGCCTTGAAGGCATTCTGATGACTCATGTGCACAGAGACATTTCTGATGACCCATAAAGGGACCTGATGACTCATAAACGGACGCATATCATATGATGCTAAGGATGCCACGAATAACTTTCAGAATTTTGGACAACCATTCATTCATTTCAAACATAGCATGGCATTTCAGAGAACTAATTACTTCCTATCTTAATATTCAGAAAATACTTAACATTAAACATAACTTTACAAAGTTATTACTCACAGATGATTGGTAGCCCTAACTAGATGGTAAGGCAGCCCATCACTTGTTCTGAGGCGCGTGACCTATATGAACACACATACGAACACACACTTGAAATACACGTTCGAATTGTACATAAATTATGTCGTTTGCTCTTAGTGTGTTTCTAACCCTTAATCCTCATTATGGAGTCTTAAACATGGCTTAGAAATGCCTAGGATGGAATGAGGATGCAAGAATGCATTGGAAAACATTTCTCAAGATTTGCTGAAAATAAGGTCCACGCTTGAGCGTGGCTTCCCTCGCTCGAGTGGACATGCAGACAATGAAGCTCCGCTCGAACGTGGACTTCCCCTCTCGAGCAGACTATAAACCTGACAAAAGTACTGGATGCATGATTTTCACGCTCGACGGGCGCTCGACCAACACTCGAGCGTGAGACTCAGACCCTCGCTTGAGCGTATATTACCCCGCTCGAGCGGACTGTAAAACCCACAAACTTCTAGGTATATGCATTTCACGCTCGAGCGTATACTTCCATGCTCGAGCAGAGTGCACGTACTCAGAGTTCACACTCGAGCGTAAAGTCCCACGCTCGAGCGTGGATCAAATTTCTGGAAATTTCAGATTTGATCACTAAGCTCAAATCAAGCATTCAACACCTCAAATCTCAACCCTTTGGGCCCATTTTCTAGAAAACACTTGTAAACTCATAGTATAAAATGTTTCAAAGATCAATTTGTAAAATCAAAGCCCAAAGGTGAGTCAATTAAACACAATTTCAAATAAAATTTCAAGAACATAACTTAAATGTAACATGCATGAATTCTCATGACTTCTAATGCTCCAAAACATGATCCAAAGCAAGATTAAGCTCAAGAATAGGATAAATTCATGGACTATAACAAAAATGTGGACATGCATGTGGAAATTCATGAAGAACAACTCCAAAATCCAAAAATATGTGCATGCATGCATGAATTCACTCTCAAATCCAACTCTTAAAACCAATTCTAGACTTTAAACTCTAATCTTCCATGAACCATATAAGAATTAATCTTAAATTCACAATTGAAAGGGGAATCTCCTACCTTAAGTCTTGAGTTCAAGGTGTGCTAGCTCAATTGTGTAGTTCTTCTACAAATCCTCAATTTCCAAGCCAAATTCTTGATGAAACCAAGTTTCTCTCACTCTCCCTTTTTCTCACGGTTTGGTCACAAAGAAGATGAGCAAAGATGCATCCAATATGTAATAAAACAAAATAAAGGTTGTCTAGACTCAAGCCACTAAGTGGAAAACTTGTAATAACTCAAACAAGTGTAAACTAACATGATTTAATCTAATTTAATCGCTCCAAATCGAATTTTAATTAAATCTACCATAAAATTCTATAAATCCTAACTAGCACATAAATCAAATCAATTTCTGATTCGAAAGCCGATAAGTCTTCCAATTCGCAAACCAAAACTAAAACGTGAACAGGTCATTTTATGGCAAACAGATAAAAACACAAAGATAATGCAATGCATATGCAATTTAATTCCGGATTCCTTCTAAATTACTGTTAGGTATAAATAATCATGGTTTAACATTAATCGGAGGTCGGGGTTATTACAATGCACTACTCGATGGACATGTTTATATTTTAATATTGCTTCCGCAAGACCCCATTATTATTAATTATCAGCTTTGTCTTTGAGGCCAAAAGTAATTTGGGATTACTAGCCGATTACGACCTAAACCTCTAGGGACGGGTTCGGGTTGTGACACTATTTGTACAAATTACAGTGGTTTCTTTAAACCATTTATTCTCTCTCTCTCTCTCTCTCTCTCTCTCTCTTTGTGTGTGTGTGTGTGTGTGTGATCTGTATTCCCTTCTTCTTTCTCTCTCTCATCAACTATTTCAGATCTGTACAAAAACCCCTTTTCCCTTCGGCGATCATTTTCTTCCTTGAGTTTTTGGTCCAGACACGGATGCCTACTTGCCAGCTCGACCTCTCTGCAGAGCTCTTCGACAACGTGAATGATTCTTGTAACCAGAACCTCGATCGAAGTTGATGTTGTCCTGTTTCTTGCAGCGCGCACTCACTCAACACTGCACTGCCATCACCACTACCACTACAATTGAAGAAGGTAATGAAAATCGAATGACTCGGACTGAGTTTGTGACTCGCCAGTTCTTCACTACGATAAGATATAATGGATTAACTCGGGGTCTAAGTTTGTCATCACCTTCGTTTTTATGCCCTAATTGGGTAGATTCATCGTTGAATCAAGCTAGCGATGATGGATTAATAGAGGTAAGAGTGGTGAAGTAGCAGGTAAAGAAGAGGGGATAGGGGCTTAGACCTCAGAGCTCACAATACAGATGAGTCACGTTCTACAGAAGAACTGGAAGATATGAATCACATATATGGTTAGTATAATTTGTGTTTCCAATGATCTTCTTATATCATTGTATTCATGATTTCAGCTTTTGTTTATAGTTCTTTCATCTTCTATGCAAGGATTGCGCAAAACAAGTATATTTGGGTATGAATATATGATAACAAGATTATTTGTGTGATTTTTTATGTTATTTTATTTTGGGTCATATTGTGATGAATTTTGATGTTGGGATGAGTGTGTGAAATCGAATAAGGGTGGTCTGTGAAACCCTAACCCAGCAAAAGTGCTCATCTTTCTCTCTCTTTCTCTCTCTCTATCTCTCTCTCTCTCTCTCTCCCTACATACATGATTTGTATAGCCTCAAATATGTTGTTTTGAACTCTTTCACTATTCTTTGCTAGTTTTATTTCCATATATGTGTTCAATCGATCTCTCGATCTCTTTCTATTGTTGAAATTGATGTGTTTTTCTTTGTAGCTACTATAAGCTTATATTTGTGTGTTTATGTTTGATTTCTTCATTATAGTTACTTGATTTAAGTGAATTTACGTAACATATATTTAGGATCAAACACATGGTCTATTATGTTTGGTTTGACAGATAGAGAGAGTGAGAGAAAAAAAAAAGAGAGAGACTAGATTCAGCAGATAAATACAAATAGATACAAAAATTGAACAGATAGGTCCAAAAAATTGAACAAATAAAAAAGATTTGAACAGACAAAAAAGATTTTGACATATAAGATCAAAATTTGATTAAAAATAAGGTTGGCAAATTTTAATAGATAAATCAAAATTTCAATAGATAGATTCAAAAAAAAAAATTCAACAAATAAAAAAATTCAACAAATGGGTTCAAAAAAAAATATTTGAACAGATAGGTTCAAAAAAAATTTAATAGATAGATTAAACGGTAAAATTAGAAACAAAATGTCCTCTAAAACAATATAACATACTTCTTACCAAAATATTTTACAAAGTATGCACTTCTAACAAAGAAAAACACTTATAGGACTTAACGCCTTATACTTTCTTTAAAATGGATTTTTCATCAATTTCCTCAATAAAAAATAAAAAAATGACCCACCTTCATTATTTGTGCATGCAGCAACTTCACTTCAAAAACATCCTCCATTAATTAATTTATTTTTCATTATTCAACTATTTAACAAGTTCTTAATTTTATTTTATTTTTAAACTTTAGACTAGAATAGTTCCGTTTATGAGCTTAATTCAATTCAAAATCTTTTGAAAAGTTAGGTCTTATAATGACCCCACAATGCTATAGGCCTGTTGGCCTCTCACATAATTTTGACCAATTTTCATAAGCTTTTATCCAATACTAAAATATGATTATTGAGCCTTTGGAAAATAAAAGACTATGTTTGGTGCAACTCTTGAAACATAATTTTACACGATTCTTTGAGTGTCGTGCTTAGTTAGTGATTTTAAAAATTGATTCTATCCTCACTTTTGAGAATATGTCTACTCGATCATCATCTCGAACATCCCGCAGACATCTAGCTGATTAAATGGAACAATATTTTTTTTTTTACACCTATTATTTTTATATTTTAAGTAAAAAATATTTTCGAAATTTTTAAAATTTTTTTTATGAGTTTGGAATATAATTTTAGATTGCGTGTTTGGTTATGAGTTGTAAATTTTTTAATCAAATATCATGTGTCACATCATGCAATTCAAAATTCTTTTCAAAACTCATAACTAAATAAATTATTCACATTCAAATCAAAATTCCAAAATTCATAAATTCAAAATACAACTCTATTCTCAAATCATAATTTGAAAACTCTACCAAGCGCAACCAAATCTTCAACAATGGAAAAACATAATTAGAAAGCAAAATATATATAGTGAAATTCAAGGCGTGAGCAGTTTAAAAGTGCTTTGACATGTTTTATCACAATATTTTATTTGGATCACATTATTTCTTTATTACATTACTTTAAATTTAACTTATATTTTATATTTTTTTATAAAAAATAAAAAATATACTAGTACTTCCCAAATAACTCTTTAATTATAATCCTAGTTGTACAAGAAAATCTTCTCTTGTTTTGATACTTTTCATCATTTTTATCCTAAACAAACTCACAAAAAAATTTATTTTTCTCACTTTTCACCACTTTCATCCCAAACAAACTGAGACGACGGGTGGCTTAATAGTTGAACTTGCAAAGCAACTGTGAATTTCTTCAGAAAAGCCCGAACCCGGCCCACTCGGCATCACTCAGTGGACGCGGTGATGATTGGTATGAAGAGAAAGAGAACGATGATGACAAGGGTGAGTCACGAAACGGCGAGAGCGACTTCCGAGTTGACACTGACCACCGAGACAGGGTCTCAAGATCCGAAGTGTAGTCGGGTTCCGGGTCGATCTCAGGTTTGGACTTTCGGTTTCTCCTCTTCTTCTTGTCATCGTTTCGCCTAAGCAATGGAGCCGGAAAGCACCCAATTGCAGCGGTTTCGGGTTGGACAAGAATGGATCGGTCAAACCGACATTGGTCGGACCTAGTGCGTGGAGCGGAGCGGAAGGAGCTGGTACGGAGCTCCGGAGGGGGAGGCTGGAAGTTGAACCCGGCGGGTGGGGGTCGAAGCTTTCGCGGGGTAGTTGGAGATGAACGGTGGTGATTGGTGGATTGTTGTTTTTGTTGATGATGTTGGATCAATGAACGTTGGAGATGATATGATGGTGATGGAGGTGGTTGTTGTTGTTGGAGCTTGGGAACACCGGGTCGGATCTCCCACTTGAATGGAATAGCTCCTGGTTTCTTAAAAGAATCATCTATGTTCATTTTAAGTGAACCAAAAATAACACACACTCGCTCTCTCTCTCTCCCCTTATGTTTAGTGTATGAGTGTATATATATAGTGGAAGGATGTCGGAGAGATAATGAAGATGATGTTGGTATATGCGAGATTAGAGGCGAGGGAGGAGGGGTTGCGTGGGCCAAAACATGTGTCCGTTTGAATTATTGCATGATAGACCTGACTTTATGCGGGGAAAAGGCCAAAAAAATTTTATAGATAAACCCAATAATACATATCTTGAATAATTAATTAGAAATATAAATTTATGCATCATAATTATTTTAAATATGATTCACATTCTGCTAAATTTAAATTTATATTACAATAATAATTCATACCACTAAAAAAAAAATTATTAATAGCACTAATACATTAGAAATGTCAAAAAAAAAAAACAAGACATAGTCCACTACTTATGTTTAGTGTATGAGTGTATATATGCATCATTAGTGATGCTATTAGAGCACCACTTTTAGTATTCTTAGGTCTCGTTTGGGAACAAGCTAATTTAGTAATTTTTTAATTATTTGGCTAAAATATGAGCTAAAAAAAACTAGTATGTTTGGGATGACTTTTTGACTTTTTACAAAAAGATGTGCAAAAAGTAGAAAGAAAAGAAAATCTTTGACTTTTTTGTATGGGTTGTTGGCTTTTTGGCTAATTTAGTAACTTTTTGACTAAAAATGAGAGTTCCCAAACGAGGTCTTAGAGCTAGTTTGGCATGTTTGAAAAAATTCAAAAAGCCACTATTCTATTTAAGTCACATCATCTTATTTAAGTCACATCAACTCTCTAACACATCACTTCAAACTCAATCCAAACCCAACCCATATTTCATAAAAAGTCAAAAAGTACACTTATTTAGATCATCCCAAACAAGTACTTAATCATTTTTCTTTATATTATGTACTTCATATTCAGAATAATTTTTTAAATAAAAATTTCATAATAAATAACTTTTTTTTTCAAACAGTTGAGAATATTTAAAATAAAAATTTCATAATAAATAACTTTTTTTTCCAAACAGTTGAAAATATTTAAACATTTTTTCAAAACGACAAATTCAAAGGCTGCCTAAGAAGATGAGGTTTGAATTTATCACACGAATAGTGGTGACATGATATGGTGGCTAGGGGCATACTTAAGAGGCTTGGAGGAGAGGGATTTAGGAGTTCAAATTTGACAGACGGCGTGATAATTATGACGATGGAGAACGTTGCTATGCAATAATAATCGCTCTCGTTTGATGAAGAAAGGTTTTGAACTTTTGAAATTTGTTACCATAGAAAAAGGATGGAGGGAGCATGGACTTTTGGGAAACATTGAGGAAATATGATTTTGTTATTTAAATTATTATTTAAAAATTAATTTAACTCTTATATTTTAATTATATCAATTTTATATCTAAACTATTTAATTTTGAATAATTTTGTCCGTCATCAATTTTCGTCGAAAACTAGACAGAATTTACTGACTTCACACTAAATTTCATTTTACCCCAAAACTATTCCTTCACCCCAAAATTATACCTCAAAAATCAATTGGATTCCCAAATATTAAAAAAAATTAATTTAAATATTTAATTAATAATTTTTTATCTTAAAAATGAAAAAAATAAATGTTAAATAACATACTTTACAAAAAAATAATTAAAAAATATATTAAATTCCTCATTTAGAATTATCGTTTTAAGTTACAAACTATCTCAAGTCGATCCTAGAAAAACTAATTATGCCAAAAATTCTTTGGCTACTCTATTTGTGTGCACGCGCAATTTGTAGCTAGCTTATTTCCTAAATTAATTTCAATAGAATTAATTGACTAATAGTGATTTCAAAACTAAGTGGATAAAAATTTAGACCATACTTATTATGAGAGTAACATATTTTTTGACATTTGAAAAATTATATTGAATGATGAAAATGAATAAAAAATGTGTAATAAAAAATTGTAAAAATTGATTTGTAGGAGAAAATTAGAATTGGGAGTTGTGCAGCCGTAATTGTTGACTTTTGGTGAATAGTGATAACTTTTTAACTTTTTGAGTAACTTTTTGACTTTTTGACTTTTTGACTTTTTGGGGTGTTCCCAAACTTGGCCTAAGTGGATAAAAATTTAGACCATACTTATTATGAGAGTAACATATTTTTTGACATTTGAAAAATTATATTGAATGATGAAAATGAATATGTTGAGATCGGCCTACAAAATCGAGATTAGTACCTACTCGATCATATCATCGATTGAATGACAATTTAATGCAAAAATTAGCAATTACTCTCTAGAGAATACTCAATAGGATACTCAATTTTTTTTTTAATTTAAACTTTATTTTCTCACCTTTTTAGATGAACAATTATTATTAAATATTTAATTTTTTTAATATATTATAAGTCTAATTGATTTTTTAGGGATAGTTTGGTAGACAAAATGATATTTTAAATAAAATCTGGTGTTACGTCAGTAAGTGCCGTGCAATTATAGGTGATAGCACAACATAGGCGAAATTGATCTAAAATTAAATAATTTAAGTGTAAAATTGATATAATCGAAAGTATGGGGTTAATTTGAATTTCAAGTAATAGTGCGCAAAATGATAGTTCCTTTTAAACATTTTGAGCAGCCTCATTAGGAAAACTCTATGGTACAACTCTCAAAGTGTGTATACCATATGCATATTATTATGTATTTTTATGATATATATTATGTATTTTTATAATAAATGTTACGTAATTTTTTAGTAGAGTTATGACAATTTGTGATTCAAAATGAAATTACACATTTTATTATCCAAATATTTTATAACCAAAAAATATGTAATATTACCACAAAAATATATAATATTAATACAAAATATGTAATTTTATTTATGAACTACAAACTATTGTAACTCTACTACAAAAAAAAAAAAAAAAAAAAAAACGTAATATTTACTATAAAAATAAATAACATATATTACAAAAATACATATGATACACACTGATCTGAAGACAAAACACTATGGAGAATGCACGCCTTAAATCACACAACACAACATCCATTGGAAAGGGAAAGTGCAATTGGCATGAGCTTTGTGCTCAAAATTCAAAATGTAGAGAGGCATGCACACACAGTACAACAGCACAAGTATTTCAAACAAAAGCAATGCAATGTAATCATATTGTTCTCAGCAGCATCATCGCAATACTAAATTCTGCTTACAAATTCTTGGTTTCATTTTCATTTTTTTATTAGTTTGACAAAAATAAATATCAAAAAGATATTTTTAAATTTTCAAAAATTATTTCTGCCTTAAAAAAAAAATTAAAACCATAGGAAAACAAAGTGTATTTTTTTCTTCTTTTTTTTTTTTCATTTTTACACCAAATTAGTTATATATTTTTGAAAATATTTCAAAAAACTGATTATGAAAAACCAAGTGGCACGATTAAAGAACGAGACATTCATTGCAAGATTAAACACAAGCACAATCAAAGAACAGACAATGGTGTATAAACCTTGGTGCAAGAGGATAGAAACTGAAAACAAAATCAACTTCATAGTTTGAAAATGGTGTCATCCTCAGATCAATGAGATTCAGTATAAACATGTCGTTTCTAGCAAAAAAGAACAATACATGTACGACATTTTCATCAATCAAAAGAGGGGAATAAAAAAAAAAGAACACTAAAAGTCCGTACCCATGAAGTGTAAACATTTATGGATATTTAAGTTTTGATCTCTCCATACTCATCCATACTTCTCTTGTAGGCCTCAATCCGGACTTACTTTGATGATCTAAATTGTCAATTTTGTAGGTTTCGCAATAAAGGTTATCCATATAAAAAATTAGATTTATTGGAAAACTATAAACACATAAACAAATCACATTTTGTTTTATAAAATGAATAGTTTAAGTTACAATCCTATTCATTATTCATTTTATAAAACAAAATGTCATTTGTTCTTGTGTTTATAGATATCCGAAGAAGGGTGATGCTATGGTACATTTAGGTGTACCATACATTTAGTTATGAACTTATATGATTTTATATCATAACCTATACCATATTAGTCATAACTATCACCATATTAACCCATAACTTAGTTATATTCAATTATTTACTTATACCATATTACTTCATAACCAGGTCATTAAAAGTGACCTGCTAAACAAGTCACTTTTTATAGTTATGAGCTAAAATCATATTTCTTCATAACTATAATCAAATTGATCATAACTTAGCTATAACTACATCTCATAACCAACACCATTTTGTTCATAACTAATATCACATATTTCATAACCACATCTCATAACCAACACCATTTTGTTCATAACTAATATCACATATTTCATAACCACATCTCATAACCAACACCATTTTGTTCATAACTAATATCACATATTTCATAACCACATCTCATAACCAACACCATTTTGTTCATAACTAATATCACATATTTCATAACCACATCTCATAACCAACACCATTTTGTTCATAACTAATATCACATATTTCATAACCACATCTCATAACCAACACCATTTTGCTCATAACTAATATCACATATTTCATAACCACATCTCATAACCAACACCATTTTGCTCATAACTAATATCACATATTTCATAACCACATCTCATAACCAACACCATTTTGCTCATAACTAATATCACATATTTCATAATCATAATCACATATCTCATAACCAACACCACTTTAAACATAACAAATATCACACATCGCATAACCATTGATCACATATCTCATAACTACTACCCACATAAATCATAACCACATCTCATAACTAGTCCCTTTGAGTCATAACCAACATCACATATCTCATAACCACTAGTCACAAATCTCATAACTACTACCCACATACATCATAACCACATCTCATAACCAATCCCTTTGAGTCATAACCAACATCACATATCTCATAACCACTAATCACACATCTCATAACTACTACCCACATACATCATAACCACATCTCATAACCAATCCCTTTGAGTCATAACCAACATCACATATCTCATAACCACTAGTCACATAACCAATATCTCA